CTCAATCAGTGCATAGTATAATGTTCGAAGATATTTTTCTGTCAATATATTCCCAAGGTATTTAATTTTGTAGGATACAAATCTAACTTTCTTTAAAATATAATTGACATGGATGTCCCATCGTAAGTGAGGATCCAAGACCACTCCAAGGTATTTTATGTTGGGCACTCTACTTCTAACAACGCACAGGGATGGTGTTATAAATGTTTTAATATTAGTGAAACCATTAGTTCTTTGCTTGACTGAAACACATATTACAGAAGATATTGAAGATATGGAGATTGATATTCATCATTATGATGTTGTAAGAGTAAACACAGTTTCGAAACGTACAGGTGGCGTACTAATATACTAACTGAGTATGATTGAAGTAAAAACACATAATACTGTAGTTGTTGATTATCAATGGTGGTATATTAATTGTGAAATTAAGATGAAACAAAATTACAATGTATATACATACATACACGTTTACTACAGATTTCCAAGCTAAGTTTATCCTGCACAGTGAGCTGTCCTCCACCCTAAGACCTACTTGTTATGTCATATCCATAATTTTACAACTGACATAGTTCCAGAGATACAACTGGAAATTTACGCTAAGCTGCTATACTAAATTTGCGGTTAATAGTTCTTCAGCAACTTTTTAAATTCAGAACCACCTTATAAGCATATAGCTAATGCATACCATAAATAATGGTATTTCCAGATTATTGGTAGTTCTATTAAACATTCGTTGGCAAATGCGTCCAAATGGATATCCCATTAGACACTAAGCTGCTCAGGTATGGAGGTATACCTCCCAAACTTAAAATTCAAAGACAGAAAAGTGTCTTTTAGCCACGACGCCAAAGGAAGGGACACCCGAAAATTTACGGTGTCGTTTCAGTATTGATGGTCGTCCGTCTGGCGAGTGGTGTTAAATTTACCTGGCGCCTCAGTTTCGGCCGATGAACAATGTTATTTTTATTAGGGTTTGATGAGAAAATGATGTCATCCGAAAAGTATATGTGTAATGTTGGACCAGCGAAAGATTGCAAGCCGAAAGAATGCGGACAAAAAATTGCGAAGTTGTCAGATGTTCTACATAAAATGCGGTCCATACATATTAACATATTTAAGATATAGAATTGTTCCGCTGAATTTGGCAATGTAGCTGGAAAACCCAGGCCGCAGGTAAACATCCGGTCGCTGATTGGTCCAAAACTCTTATCTTATCTGAAACTAGAATAACGTGCCGATGGCACGGTCATTTATAAACCTACTCCCATAGGCGTAGGCAGTTGGCAAATACTTTGAAAATATAATTTACTGTTTAGTGGTGATAATGGAATTCAAGCATGGGAAAGTTATTCACAGCCAGGCAAGGGAAATAATAGCAAACGTGATACGTGCTTGCGATGCAGAAGCGGCTAACAATACTTTCGTTTATCCACTGGTAGCTAGAAATGCAAGGGCGGCATATTATACGGGTGTTAGTGAACGAACTATAAGTAAAATTAGAAAAGAAGATAAAGACAGGCAAAATGCAACCTCCACACAGCCTTTAGCTTCTCCCGGAAAAAAGAGATCACGCCCTTCTGTGATCCAAAAAATTGATGGAGTCGATTTTTCCATTATTCGGAGAATGATAGAAAAATTTTACTGTGATTTTAAAGTGGTACCTACTTGTAGTAAACTTCTAATCAAACTGAAGGAAGAAATGGAATTTCCATTTGGTAAAGAATCGTTGAGGCTGCTTTTAAAAGCAAAAGGATTTTACTGGCGTAAATGCCACAACAAAAGGAAATTACTAATGGAAAGACCCAGTATTTTACATTGGCGATACAAGTATCTTAGGTCTATTAAAAAGTTCCGGGAAGAAGGAAGGCATATTATTTATTTGGACGAAACTTGGGTTGATAATGACCTCACTTTCAAGAAATGCTGGCAAAGCGAAGAAATTATGGGTGTCCTGAGCAATATAAGTTCTACAGGTAATAAAGTTTCTTTCACCTCGATTTTGCTTATTATACATTTTTCTCAATTTTGGAATATTCTTAATAAGTGCTCATTTAATTTGTCTAATTGAATACATAATCCCTTGCAAGTATTTTTTTCTCAAAAATATGTTTTTTATACATAGTGATTCAAAAAGGTGTTGGCAAACTTAAAATAACACTAAAATGAGGCTATTTATTCATTTCCAGGACGACTTATAATTGTTCATGCGGGTTCGCAAGATGGTTTTGTTCCTGGAGCCTGTCTCATTTTCAAGGCTGGCTGTGCCACTGGTGATTATCACGGTCAAATGAACCAAGAAAATTTCACGAAGTGGCTTACTGAAAAACTATTTCCTAACATTCCTCCTAATAGTATTATAATAATGGATAATGCACCTTACCATTCAGCTTTGGAAGACAAGCCTCCAACTAGATCTTCTCTAAAAAGAGACATCATCACGTGGTTGAGCAAAAAAGGTATAGAGCATGATCCTAATGCTAAAAAAATGGAGCTTTATGAAATAGCTTGTCTACATAGGCCACCATCTGATGAGAAAAATTATAAGATAGATAATTTAATAAGAAGTTTCGGACACACCCCACTTCGAACGCCACCCTATATGTGTCAGTTTAATCCCATAGAGATGATTTGGGCACAAGTAAAATTTTTCATTAGAAGCCATAATACAAGCGGCGAATTTACTATAAAAAAACTAGATGAAATTTCTAATAAGGCCATCGCTTCAGTAAGTGCCAGTGACTGGCAAAAGGTTATTGGACATGTTATAAAAATTGAAGATGAATATTGGGAAAAAGACAGTCTCATTCAAGAAATACAGGAAGAAATAATAATCAACATAGGAGGTGAAAGTGATAGCAATGACAGTTCCTCAGACAGTGATCATGACTCTAATCAGGATTGAAACTATACTAGATTGGCTACCTTTTAGAATTTTTAGATATTCATTTATTATACTATTGGTTTGTGGCTTTTAGTATCTCAGTAGAAAGTCTAATTCTATGTGTTGTTTATGGGTTATTTCATCAAGAAATTACTTTTTGTTTTCCTATATTTTTCTATTCAGTCAGATATTTTTGACTTGTTGTATTCTATTTTAGAAGAATGCATAATTTGTTTTGCTGTTCAATCATAATGCGTACATAGGAATATTACTTGTTGCCTAAAAAATATATTTATTTTGTTCTCAATATTCAGTGTTTGTGTATATTTATTTCTTATAATGTATGTTTGGTATCACGTCATTATGAATCGCAAAAAAATATTAATACTACCAGTTGTAATAAAATATAAATTCAATTAATAATTCAAGTCTCTCCGATCTCCGCCTATGACTCCATATAAAATCGTCTAATGGTAAGGTTTTTTCATCGCATTTCCCCCTTTCGTCCCTAGCAATCTTTGGCTGGTCGATCAATATGTTGTCCCATTAGCCGCGGCTAGCGACTAGCGGCCGTTCGTATCGCCGCGCTGCCGCCTGGACGGATCTTGACCTGTCCAGGGTTGCCGATGCACGTTAAAGCTACTGCTCTTCTCCATCGGTACTCTGGGTAAATTCCAGATCACTGGTTTCAAGTCATCCTGTAAATCAGTAAACCGGTTTATTCCTTCTTAAAGAATTAACAGATTAATTCGCCTACTCTTATAATATATATAAACGATGGTTGCATAGCTGCTAGGAGGTATTCGTTAGGGTGTCCTAGGGTTGAAAAACAAGAACTTTTATTTTTGAGACACTCGTTTCGTAGCTGTACGTGTTGCCTAAACGTCAAGATGCTTCAGCGCTGCAGTCTGAAAATGTAACAAGTAACGTTACGCAATACAAATTATCACTGCCTGCATGTACGCAGGCGAAGACCATTTCGAATGAGAGCTAGATGGGTAGTGACCAAAATCGCTTATCTATGATCATAGAGGTGGAAACCTTGCCTTGTTATTTACGAGGTGCGGTGTTGCCAAGCGAAGCAATCATGCAATGTTGCAGAATTTTTTCCTCTTCTCAACAAGGATCCAATTCCATATCTCTTCGGCCATCTATCGTTGTTCATACGTTCTAAGCGACCATACCATACAAGTCTCTTGAGCTCGATAGTGTCCATAATATTTCCTTCTAGTAATATTTTCCTTCTTATCTCCTCGTTCCCAATATTGTCCGATCGTCCGATACGTCTCCAGTAGCCCATTTCAAGGGATAACAGTCGATTTTTGTCTTTATCTTTGATTTCCTATACCTCAATTCCATAAGTACTAATGCTCTCTACAATAGTGCTATTATATAGATCTCTTCACACTGTTATTAACTTTCTTACTCCAGAGGATCAGATTTAATTGCCTAATAACTCGTTTGCATTACCCTGTGTTATTGGCTATGTCATCTGAACTATTTCCATTCGCCGATAGAGTTACACCTACATATTTAAAACAGCAAGTGGGTTTGATAAAATTCCCAGTATCTAAGTCATGGTGATCATCAGAGCCGACTATCACATATTCCGTCTTTTTGGTGTTGATAAAACCAAATAAAACCATTATTTTTGCGAAGATAATAAATTAATGCATACTTTCAACATGCATCTTAATTCAAGGAACTGGTGTAACATGTTGGCAACCCGGCACATTGCCGCGTCAGCGTTGCTATGCAACCCGTTGATGAGCTTCTATCTCTTTCTGTGGTTATATACACTTCTCTCTTGTACACATTGAACTCAAGCCATCAACAAAATTTGGTTCTCAGTGTATAACTAGGCAAAGTAATCCGAGCATAGACAAGAGTCTCAACAGCAATTTGAAGAGATGTTTACTTGGTGACATTATTACGAATCGATAGATAAAGGATGCTTCTTCAACAATAAAGGGGAGTTTACACTAGCATGCAGAGATTGCGTAAGTTTTATTTGCATCCAACTTACAAATATAAACACTCAAACGCACGGAAGCTTAACTTGCATCGCGGACTTGTATGCATTTGTTGCTTTCGCAAATAAATTTTGTTTTGACAGAAACTACTTGCGTAACTAACAGCTACCGCGAAAGCTCCACTTGCGCGTTAGCTGTACTTCCCTGTGTAAACCTGTTGCTTACAGACAACTACTACTCGTAAGCAAATGACGAGAGTTTTTGGTCGTGACGAAGAAGTGCGCTGACTGGACTTTAAGCAAGTTGCCCTTGCAAAGGTGTGTGTGTAGTGTAAACCTTAATTTGAATGCAAGTACAGTTTGCATCAACTTGCATGGCTTACTTTCGCAAGCGCTACATGCTGGTGTAAACTCCACTTAAGTTTCTTATAGTGCCAAACGGTTGTTTGTAATAAACTAGATCCGTTTAGGGTTAGAACATAGCACGACATTGTCCCAATTTTCCACTTTTTCTTGGAGCTAATTGAATTCGATTCGAGTTTTTGTTTACATCTCAACTATTGCTGATCATAAAAAGTGACCTACAGCACTTTAACCAAGACCAAAGGTCATACGGACCGCTCTGATAAACAATGATGAATAGACAATCATAGATAGTAGGTAGCATAGTATGTTCCGTTTGTTTTTTGACAGAATGGCGGTATAGCTAGTTTATAATTTGAACCTTCAGATGTACAACGTTTTAGCTTCTATTGACTCCACCAGTCAAATCACAGCAAATCTATGTATAGAAGCAAATGCTGGAGCTGTATGCGCCTCTTTTCTGTATTAGTATTTTTGCAAAAAGTGACAAAATGTCCAGCAGCACGTTCTTCACAAAAATGCTCATATTAGTCAAATTTACTGAAAACATACCTAAACGGCAACAATGTCCACGCTTACCGCAGTACTGCCTGCGACAACGCCTTCGGAGCTCTCGAGAAGTGGATAAACGGCTTCACTTTTTTACTTCCTCTCAACGGATCGACCAGCTCGCCCATCTATTATTAACAGGCAATGAATGTTAATATTCAAAAGTGCAGGTGAATACTTTTACAGATTAGTGAAAAAAAATGGGGCTTTTTGTTTTATATCAGCCGTATAAACGATACTGAGCACGTATACCGACTAAATCCTTATATAACTGTATTAAGCAACTTGTTCTCTTATACCAAATTTGGAGAGATTTGAAAAAATGCAAGCAAAACAGAAGAAATGTTTGAGCAATGACGACAAGGTTTTTCACGAACTTGGATAATCTGTTTGATATTGCGCATGCCGATGCCCTTCAATTGATGAAAGGATGGATTCTTCTTGCAGCGGCAGAGAGTGCCAGATTGACCTAGTCATTTAGCTAGGATGGATAAGAAATTAGCCATAAAATAAGAAAAGGCAACACCGAAGAACAAAAGTGGCGAGCTAAATATGTTGCTTTCTTAGTTCCTTCGACATCATTTATCAATTCATCTTCAGATTCCGAGATAGATTTACATAAAACTTTGCCCGTCCCAACTCGGAACACAGCCTGATACTAATCAAGCTCAAATAAGGAAAAGCCAAAATTAATGGCAGAATTAGATAAGTGTCAGTAAAGTTCGAGAGATGCTGTTTCGATTATTGAAGCAACCATTGATGTACTGTGACATAACATTGACGAGTTTCCTATTAAGCAAGTCCTCCATTCAAAGCTTCATTTTCAAAGCGAGGGACCGGAAACTGTAATTGTCGACTGGGATGCTAAATTGTCGCCACCTTTGGATGCACGCAGTTATAAAGAAGAACTTCTACCGATTATTAATTATAATGTATGAAAATAAAGAACAACTTGTCGCTGTGCCCAAATTGAATGACTCTTCAGGCAGCGAACAGGCTCAGGCAGTTTGGGATGCTATTATCGAGACTTGAAGATAAAGTTCAGATTCTCTGTTGTGATACTACTGCTTCAAATACAGGTTTTTCTTTACCGCCATCACGTCTCTGAATTGGTGTTACAAGGCGTGATTGAATCAAAGATCGACCAAGTGACTACAAACCCTGACATTCCAGTGTATAAAAAGCATCGCGTAAGCTGGAAAAGTGTGGATCCCGAGAAAATACAGATTAATACTGAAAAGCTGCCATGCTTGAATATCTCGGAGACTTACAAGCTCCTAGAATTTTATTGACATGAATCGACCAAAAAAGATGCGTTAAAATCAATAGTACCACATGAATGTCCATCAAAACTGATTCAAACTGCTGAAAAAGCACACCACCCGCTCTTTCACAGACAAAAAGACCACATTAGTACCGACGTACCGCCGTTCACGTAGTAAAGATCTTATCTGCCATCTCGGATCTCCTAAATAGCCGTTCGAGCTGTCAAACGCTGGCGCCTGAGACGTTATCGATACCTGGTCTGACCAGGTAGTACCACGACAGCCGTAGCACCCTTAATTTGGCGGAAAAGTGCGGTTCGTGCCGGAAGCAGCCGTTGAGAGTTAGCGATCCGCATGTGTTTCTACCTGGGCTCTTGAATTTGCAGTGGGACTAGGTCCATGAATGAGATCCAGGGCCGATGTCCGGGCTTGAATTTCATAAGGTCACTAGTAGACTAAGGGCCGTATCGTCGGCCATTCCTAGAATTGTAGGACGCCTGTAGGGCCTCCTTGATTTTCATAGTTTTCTACTGTTCCGCGTCAGCGTCTATTTTGAGGTTATGTCACAAATATCCCAACTAACAATTATCACTCCTATTAGAGTTGCAAGAATGATTATACAGTATTCCTTAAACAGCATTGTATACTGTAAGAACATTAGCAAAACCCTCTTAGAACAGCTATACAAGCGGAATGGGCACACCTAATAGGACACTTCAGTCACTTAAGAGGTTGTATAAGGGCTGCAGGTAACAGTTATAAAACAAAAGTGTAAGCCTCTTGCAGCCGCTATAGGACATTTGCGTCAGTGTAAGATTCAGTTTTTGTCAACTATACAACTATTCTCTTACGTGATTCTACTTTATTGCAACCAAACTATTTCCTATGCATTGTACAGACGTAGTGAAGAATATATAACTAACACATTACAGTCATCTTGTTTACTTACATATCGGCCATTGTGAATTTCATACACAGATATATGATAAACTTCTACACTTTGATATAGGGCTATTGAATTACTTTTATTGTGATTATCGTGCAAATTAGTTACCCAATTTCTACGGGCTTCGTATTTGATTCATGTTTTGACAATGATCAAAAGTATGTCTAGATTTTTAAGATGGAAAACTGAACTTATCTGCGTTAAATCACACTAATGTTTATCACTTTATATCTGTAATTTCGAACTGAAACATAATTATTCAATATTAAATAGAGGAATAAATGTTTGTCCAATATGGCGGGTGGTTGTGTACAATCATATTGTCTTTAGGTTATTAGAATATTTTGGTGTTGCCTGCAGGTGTTATACAACAATTTGACAAATGTCTAAAATGAAATACCGACAGAGTCGAATGATTTACCCAGAATTTGTACCAGATCTATATCTTCTGTTTGAACAGTTGATAAAACCTTTTGAACCGATATGCATGCGTTGTTTGTCTTAAAACATTGGTTATGGCATTTTAACAAAAATATGACAGCAGAAAGTTAGGTTATGGTGAAGTTGTTTACCAACATATTTAGCATATGTAACAGTTGTATAAGTTCTTCCGTTGGGAGCAATTTGTTAGCTAATGTAGTAAATTGCACAGCAAAGCAACAAGGCTCGGGTTTGTTTTATAAACGTTAGCATGGGTGCCACAACACAACCATTTTGACTAACTTGCAAATATGCCGTATAAAATAGTTGTACAAACGTTTATGCAACAGTTAAAAATTTGCCCTATAATGTGTTGTATAACTATGCTAGAAGAATATTTTAAACACCTCATTTTAGAGCAAATATGTTGCAGAAAGCAAATTTGCCTTCCACACAACATTAAGCCAGCATTTTGGTGTTCAGGCAACAAAAATAGAGAGCTTTTATGGCTGAACGGTTCTTTTACCAAAAGCTTATACCACTACTTTGCTAGTTGGGATCTATTTGCATCAAATTGTTCATGATTTTGATTTAGGTATATCATGTTTTATCAGTTTAAAATTTCTTTGAATAAAATTTGACATACTCTGAGAAAGGTGTGATTAAATTTTGACGTGAAAATATTTGCTGTCTCGCTTTATTTCCCTAATTATGTGTTAGGGTCCCCGATTCCATATGGATTCATCCAATCCTGAGTTTATAATTTATCTCTTCAAAAACAAGCTGTACTTGGTTCCAAAGAGCTACTAACGTTTGTGGAGGATGAGATAGAGGCCACAGGTATTCCTCTAGTCATATCCCACACATGATGCTCATTGGGCAAAAGGTCTGTAGATCTAGAAGGCAAAGGAAGGCTGACTGAAGAATTATTGAGGTAGATCGTTTTAGCTGTAGCAATTGGGATGCGGGCATTACCTTGTTCGAAAATAAGTTTGGCAAGCGTCTGGAAAAACGGCAGAAAATGAGGTTGCAGTATTAACTAGATATACCGTTCTGCCGTCATACTTCCCATAAAGATAACTCTAGATGTCTCACAACCATGTGTAATGGCGCCCCAAACAATGGCGCCCCAAACAATGGCGCATCGGACGTTCAACTAAAAACATATTATGCATTATGTTTTTCTCGGTGTCGTATTCTGCTGTCGTGTCTTACCAGCAAGCAATCCTGAACAGAACCAAGACTGATCACTAAAAGCAATGCTACACCATTCATCATCCAATATACAATTGAACGTCAAATGCAGGAGTCATCTAGAGTTTCCATTGGAGACAGCACAAAAATCTAAGAAATATTGCCGTTTCTCCAAACGTTGTATAACCTCATTTTTCATCAAGATAAAGCTTGCCGTCATATTTCTACTATAAACCACCACAATAAGGCTCAAGACATCCTCCTTCCTTAGTCTCGTAGATCTACAAACCTTTCTCCCGTTGAAGATGTGTCCGATATGATGGAAAAAATAATAACTCCATTGTCTCATGCCTCATAAGCATGGAACCCAGTATAGCTAGCTTGGAATGAAATACCTCGAGAAGACACAAATCACTGCCTCCGTTGCATGTCCCGATACGGATACGATATCGGAGTGGCCCATTACATCATTTAGGAAATCAAGTGATACAGCTAATGTTGTCCATTT